ATATATATACCCTAGCAACAATTTGTCCTTGTCTCCTGCTTGGCTTAAATGGGTCCTATACGAAAATGCACCGGCGAACCAATTTGCACAGAATTCCCATAATATAGGTCAAATATCAGCCTTTATCGCCCTAATATAGGCCTATATTCACTGAAAAATGATATAAAATATTGGGTGAATCTGACAATTCTATATAGGGCTAAAAATACATAGGGGAAAAATAACGTCCATTTTAACCCTCATTGAGCTTATATTCGTGAATATTGGTTCAATGTGGAATTAGAACACTTTCGATTCTTAGACGTTGAACATTTTTTGTTTAACTATTTGAAGCTTTTTACCACTTTTTACGTTATAACGTAATAAAATATGATAATATTTACTTCTCTAATTATTGGCTTATAAATTATTTTATTAAACTCGATAAGATTGTTTGAATGCAAACTTGAAGGTATGTAGCAATATTTATTTATATTTTCTTTTCTCGAAGACGACAGTTGCACACCGAAATTATATGTTCCTTGCTAAAACATTTGGACACAAATCGTTATTTTCTGCAATTTTCAATTTCTCGAGCAAAACTTACTTTTCAGAGGAAGTTATTAGTTTCTATTTTTTTTTATTCCTGGTGAATGCTGTTTAACATTTGAACTTGCAGCATATGATGCAACCGCTGATTAATGGCACGTTTTCTGGCATGGATCGCTAACAAGTGGTATAAGATCCTTGATTTTCATACACAGTTAGGTAACATCATCGGATTTTACACACAGTTAGTAGATTTTTGTTAGATAGCAAAGTAATTGTACTTTATAGGGCAAACTATTTCATGAACATTGTAAATAAGTAGAAATCAGTTTAATTCGGAATGAAAAATAACACACTAAACTGAATGGTCTCGATAAAAAATAATTCACAGAACAAACTGAAAAACTTGACAAAAATAAATGATAAATCGTCTATTGGAGGTGAAAAAAAATTCCTTCTAAATATTTACAAAGGTCAAAAAGGAAATATCTTCTAAATATTTACGAAATGTAAATAAGGATGGGAAATTCAGCTACTTATAAAAAAGGGATGGACAAGCGTCTAGTTTTTGGGAATCAGAACTTATAGAACGCATGGAGTCATAAAATGACTTTTCCTAACGGGTTAAGGTGTGGTCCCATACTTAGCGCACAATACTTTCTCAGAGTTATCATTCAGTCGAGGCCATTTTAAAACTGGTACAAATAAAAATAACAATTCAAAAAGATGTTTTTTTTTAATTTTACGTCCATTGAAAACAAAACCTTGAAGTCAAAGTTATGTGACTTGTTAGTCATGCGATTAAATTCCATTTTGATTTATAAGCAATAATTACTTAACAGCAGTTTCTTCTAGTTCAGGATTATAACAAATATAACGGTTATAATCAGGATGTACATGTGAGGGGCAATAACGTATTTATAATGTCTTGAGAATTAAACTAAACAACTTCAAATATCGAATCTTAGATACCACATAATTATACGGGAACTATTGCGCGGCATTTTTTCTTAACACGGTGGAACCCATCAACTGTTCTGCAAATCATCTTCATAAGGTTCGAAGCCTTGTAAAATAAAAAACCAGCATGAAACTTCAAAAATGAACGTTTTTCTTACGAGGGTCAAAAGGACCCCTTTTGTATGTTATATATATTAGTTTGACACCCGGTGGCAGAGCTGTAGCGCTTCGTGCTGTCGTGCCACAGGTCCCTGGTTCGATCCTCGGGTCAGGCAGGGTTGGCTAAGCCTTTCATCCCTTCAGTGGGTCGATAAATGAGTACCAAACATGCTTGGGAACTAAACACAGGGGGTTCCGAGTTCGGCTGACCACCTTACCAGAACATCTGCTCCTGCACCCCAGAGTCCAAGGTCAAGAAAACTGAAATTGGCACAGTAGGCCTTGGCCCTCTATGGGTTGTCGTGCTCCTGAGTTTAGTAGTATATATTAGTTTGCGTTACTCATCATGCGTTTTTATTGTTTATTATGATGAATCAACATAAACGTTTGAAATTTTGTTACAGTATACATAGAAACAATTTAAGGACTATATATATANAATCTCATCCCTATATATATATATATATATATATTAGCTTCGAAGATCACGTGTATCTTCTAATCTTCTAATACAGCATAAGAAATGGCTAAAAACAATCAAAATTACCTCCAATGACCCTTCTAGTGTTGATAAAGAGTAGTATGAATGTGCAGTAGCTTGCAGCTATTGTAATAACATGAAGTTGCATTAGCACAAACGGATCTGGAAGGTATGCAAAATCAAAGAAAAAGTGAAGTTAATTCAGTTATTTATCGATATATTCAAGACACTGCATAATTTCATCTTTAGAAAAGTTGTCTGAGGAAGATTTTATTTTCCAACAAAATTTATCTTCCCTTCATACATTAAAATCATCAAGCATCAGGATGTAGAGTAACAAAATTGCTTTGGTATTGTGGATAATTTATTCACTTGGGTCTGCCCAATTGAAAATTAATGTATAGGATAGTAAAGACAAAACAGCAAAAAGCTGCTACTACAAACGAAACTGGACAAGTTCATTTAAGTTAATGAGGTTAAGAAAAACTGCTCATTCCATGCAGAGGTTATAGTCTTATATGTAGCGATTAAAGCTACAAATTATTAAGTAATTAATAATTATTAAGTAAACTAGTAATTATTAAGCAAAAATTCAATTATGAATGGTGAAAACCATTTATAATTGAATTTTTGACTACATAGAATTGTATCTTAATATAAATTTTTTTTCAAAAAGAATTGCAGAATTAATTTATACTTTATTTTGAGTTTTTAGTGCTTAAAAATATTGTGAAATTTGTAGATCTGATTAGTTAAACTCTTAATTTAATTTAAGTAAGTAAAAAGTAAGATTCCTTCTTTATGACTTTTGTTAAATTATTCTTGCAATTTTAGAATCAGAGCTACATTTTTCAAACATAAGATCAATGAATTGCATCTAACAAAATATATTTTATTCCCAAAAATGTGGCATGTCATCCTAATAGAATATATCAAGTATTACAAGAAAAAAATAAAACTTTCAAAGTATCTAGATTGATGCCTACCCTTATTTGAGAGCTATAAAACAATAAAATCTAGTTTACCTAGAAAATTATTTATTTTTTTGTTCTATAAAAACACTGCAATTTCGGTCATGAGCTATGTTATAAAGAACGAAACACTGCATGATTTCATCAGTTGATTTTTAGATCAAATAACTGAAATTCTCATAACTTAAATTTTTTCTTAAAACAGTTCTTCTACAGAAATTAAATAGATCAAAAAGAAAATCTTTGTCTTAATTGCTAAAATACATATTACATGAAGTAAAAGCTTTGCTATGTCATAATTTAAACAAACAATAATAGCTAGCAAAAAATTGAATTAGTCGGAAAGTAAACTTAATTGAGTTTAGAAAAACTGAAATGTCTGATTTATATGCAAACAATGGTAGAAAGTAAAAAAAATAACGTAAAAAAAAGATAGCAAAAAAATATTGAATCTTCATAAACAATGAATGAAATTTAGCAATAACCGTAATGGAAATTTTGTGATTTAATCTATAAATAGGTTTTGCAACTAACCAGCTGGTAGCAAAGCTTCAAAATCTTGATACTTGATCTTGTTTCTACAATTAGTAGTAAATATATTGTCAAGCAAACATAAAAATATTTTATTTACACCATACAACATTAATAATGGAGGAGAAAATTAAACAAAGTGCAGAAAAACAGAAAATGTAAAACAAACATGGATAGAAAAATATAAATTGAGTTAAATGATCATTTTCTTTTTTGGATGCAGTTAATTTTTAAACAATTTTTTGTTTCTTCTATTTTCACACTTTTCCTTGATTTCTATTTTAAGTCTGCTTAACAAAATTGGACATCGTAATGGATATTTTGCGTAATATTTCAATAGCAAGTTTTAAACTTTCATCTCAGTTTCCATTTCTTCGAAAATACAGATTCTTCTAAACGTTAATCTTAATAAAAACATTTTCAGTTAATTCTTCATGCCTGCCAAGTGGAAGGATATAGTTAACTTTTAATCCTGGCATTAACTTGATTCTTTCAGAGCATTCTTTTCCATTCTAAAATAATTGGTTTTGATAATCTGCAAAAATAAAAAAATACAACTACAACAAAAATCATTTATCATTATCATTACGACTACTAAGAAAAGAACTAACATTTCTAAATAATCAATTGTAAAAGAGCAATAGTATATTCAATGATTAATGGCTAACAAATTTTTCAAATTTCCTGTTGACCCTTTTCTCTGAGAAAAATAAGTTTTATTTTATTTACATAGTAAAAACATGCACTAGTTAAAAAGACAGGACACAAAAAATTTACATAATTGCATTTCATCTAAATCTATGATAATATAATAAAGATATTGTCTGTCTGTCTATCTTATAACACTAGAATCTTTTTCTTCCGGTTTAGCTTATAAATCTCTTATAACTCAAATTTTTCTCCTTGAAATTCGGACAGTGCGTGAAAGGGGCCCCCGATCATAAAAATCGTTCAAAAATTAAACTTATATCGTTCGAAAAAGACACTGAAAAATGTAATTATTTTCATAGTTTGGTCCTGGTTACCATTTTCTTGCTATTGGTTGCCAGTAGCCGTCACCAACCACCTTATTTTCTATTAATAATACTCAAATTTTCAAATAGACAAAGACGTGTTGCACATATAAATAGGTAAAATTATTTTTACGTAACAATATAAAGTAATAATCAAAATAGGTAAAGTAATTAATTTAAGTTGTAGTACAGGCAGTGATTCTTAAAATAAAATGAGTTTGTAAATTAAATACTTACGGGTGGCAGCAAAAATATTAAGACGAATTCTAACTAGGCATAGCAGATCAAGACTGGATAGAAATTATACATAATAACATTATTTAATACGGTTTACAGAGACTTGAAAATTAGCTGCTATTATTTAAAGGCCTCATTAGGTCAGTTTTAACATATGCTTGTGAAACATGGAAACAGATGAAGAAATGCTGAGCATATTTGAGAGAAAGATATTACGGTGCATTTTTGGCGGAATTAATAAAAACGGTCAGTGGTTAAGAAGATCAAATTTAGAACTCTATCGATCATATAATGAACCAGACATCATAAGATTCATTAAGGTCCAAAAGATAAAATGGGCAGGCCACTTAGTAAGAATGGAAGAAGACCGTATCGTGAAAAAGATTTTTGATGCCCGGCCGACAGGAACACGTAGAAGGGGCAGGCCAAATCTCAGATGGCTAGATACCCTGGAGAAAGATTTATCTATATTAAAAATAAAGAATTGGAAGTCCATTGTCAAAAGAAGGACAGCTTGGAAAAAACTACTGGAGAAGACCAAGGCCCATCCTGGGCTGTCGAGCCAGTGAGGAAGGAAGGAAGGAAAATAATTTTAGAACTGAAAACCCTGTTTTCAGTTCTAAACCTATTTTTTGTTCTTAAATAAATTGTCGTTTAAATAGGAAGTACCTAACCGAAACCGGTTGATTTACAAAAAATTATTTTTTATGTATGTTACTTTAAATGACCGAAATCAGTCGACTGTCACCGATGAATTTCAACAATCACTTAGTTTCTAATTCTAATAAAACTTCTAATCTAATTTTTAGTTTCTAATAATATTTCTATATTTAAACGAAAAAAAGCTTAATTGAAACTCACATAAAAATATTTATAATTCCAATAAATTTTAAACAAAATCTAGTCAAAAAAAAAACTCGCTTCAATTTAAAAAATAAAAATGGTTTTAACAAGTTAAGTCTTAACTCTGTAATTGCATTTCAACTGGCAACAGATTGGCAGCTATGGTATTTTCTACTACAAGTTTAAAAATTCTAATACCTATCAGACAAATTGCTGAATGCTAATTTCTTATTCAAATTTTTATTTTGGCATGTATTTTTAAACATCAATACGAAAAATTTGACTGAATTTTTATAGATAGCGACTAAATAAAAGATTTGAAAAAAAAGTATGTTATTTTAATTGCTCAAACTTTCAACAGCTCTTTCATACTAACATATTGGGACCATAGTTGGGTCGCACTAACACACATATTTTGAGAAACAAAAAAATTCAGAAATAGCTACGTATATCTATGTATATATAACTTCAAATATTCTGTTTACAAAATATTTAGTTTAATTAGGGTTAAACTGTTGAGGCATTAAAGATTACATCCAATGAGCTAAAATCTCATAATTAGATCAAAAGTTAATTAGATATTCCTTGTTTTTGAATTTTACACACAGTAAACTTTTACATTTCATATGAACATAAATGGTAAAACAATATGTAAGTATCAAAAAATGTCCAAATGTTAAGATCATAAAATACCAAACTAAGATTTCTAAGATTTTCTTATTTTTCTAATTAATCGAAGAAGAAAAAATACTGATTTTGCAGTGCATTCTTCCTTTATAAAATCATATTTATATAACTAGACTAATTGAAATGAGCTAAATGTGCGCATTGACAGAAACTGAAAATAAAAATCAGTAGTCAGTACCTTATTAATAAATTCCTCCTCAGAAGTCTGATAAATTCATAATCTTCTCAAATTCTAATGTGAAAAGTTCTGCAAAAGACAAATAAATAATATATTTTAACTCAAAATAACTCATTAATTGTAAAATGATTAACATAGAACTAAACTCATTCACAGTAATTAAAAAGAGAGTTTCCTTTATCACAGATATTAAAGAAATCCAAAAAACTCGTTAATTTTAAGTATACATACGATGACTCCGCACTTTCACTCCTTAAGTGAAGCTTGGAATTAAGTATTAGACAAAATTAAATTTTTAAAATCATATCTATGTTAAAATATCCTAAAATTATATAAAGAGTAAATGGATTATACTTATTTAATAAAGCTTGAAATTTTACGTAGGAAATACGATAACAACTTATTAATATTGGTAAAAATATTTATAGGCTATACAAAATAACAATATCACGTTGAAATGCAAAGTTGTTACGATGATGAATTTTATCGAACAAATATTTTATACATAGAACATAGAGTAACAGAAAAGGGTCAGAAGATACTGGATAAAACGTGGGCAATATATTCAAATATGAGGAATCATATGTAAAATATTAGAAATGTTACTTTGGAGAAAAATGTCCTCCAAAAAGCAAATGAATGGGGATTCAATCGAGTGTGAATTATTCGGAGATTGAGTTGCTTCATGGTTTGCAAGCCGTAGACTGAATACCTTCAAAAGGTTAAATTCTGATTTGACAGAGTGAAGTTTTTTTTTAATTTTGAGCTTTCATTGCTGTTGCCATAGCGATGTAATAAACTCTTGACCATGTACTTTTATGTCTGAAATGGATACAGTTAGAGGTAATGACGTAGTGGCATATCGAGCTGCGGAATCACCAAATTTATTCCAACGTGACTTGGGACCTAGGAAAACAAAATACCAAACCCACTTTTATGATGATGAATTGAAAAATGTAGGATAAAATTTAAAACACGATGAACATCTGTTTGAAATGGTTCCATCTGGCCAAAAATGCTTATAGTGTCTGAGTTCTGGCAATATTCTCTAATAGGCCGTGATAAAATTAGCCGTAAGATTAGCAGTAAGGCTGAATGTTGTGGTGATTCAAAAAGGAAGAATGTTTGAACTTTTGAACGCATGTTATAAATGGATGAACATGAGAAAATCTAAAATCATCTTGACACATTAAGCTTATTGGAGTAAATCTAAAGGTAGCTGATGTCAGACAACATTCAAACTTTCCACGAATGAAGTGCGAAAGGAAGTAGGATGCTCAGTATCCAAGCGTTTTAAGTGGAAAGCAGAAACAGTGTCAAAAACTGTACACACATTGTCAAAACAATCCACTATGAACATCAAGTTATTTTGCAACAACGCAGAACTGCTTTATTCTCAAAACGTGTTTGAACCCGTTTGTTTGAACGTGTTGGACCCGTTTTCGCCATTGTTTTATGTGAGGCTGAAAAGATAACTTATGATCGAAAATTACTCCCAAAAATTGTGCTTACATCATGATGGGTAAGTCAGTGTTATTAATATGAATGGCATGATCATTATGCTGCAGACAATAATGTATACATGGACTTTTGGAAGGTAAAAGCGTGTGGCCATTCTCATCAGACCAATTTGGAGTTTTATTTACAGTAAGTTGTAGTTGACGCTCGATTACTTTCACGTCAGATCCTGAGCATTAGACGCTAAAATTATCAACGTTAAGTACATCAAAAACCTTAAGTGGTGGAATGTTTAGGACGAGATAAACATGAATTATGAAAAGTATGACACTTTGAACATTAACTTGTGGGACACCTTCAGATAAGATGAGGGTGTCGAAAAATATATACTGACCTGTAGACTTGAAATCATCTCTGACTCAAAGAGTTTCTGATAAGAAACAGGTATGTGAACACGGAGACCACAAATGAAGCCTTTAGAATGCAAAAGCGACATGTTTGATCATGCGCTTTCTCAATATTAAATCTTTTAAGTCAAAATGTAAACACTGAAGGAAAAATGTGCATCGGAATAATATTTTAAAATCATATTAACTGGATTTTGATTATTTACACCACTATTTCTCTTATTGACGTTCATAATAGTTCTCAAAATTTCCTTTTTTTTCATCTAAATAATTATTTATGGCTCATAATGTACATGTTTTAATGATAATTTGTCTTATTTAACTCTCTCTATAGATATTACAGAATATCCTCTCAATTAATTTTTGTTTGGATCCATTAAATTTATTTATCTATATAAAGAATTGATATTTAGTTTCAGATTTGACGAAACTTTACCCTAGAAAATCAGGAGCTTTTGAAATCACTGCTTCGAATTCCATGAAAGAAAGTTTTCCATCATCATCTAAATCCCCTTCATCTAAAACCTTTTCAACTACAATGGAAATGTCTTCATCGTTCAGTTCGCCTCTTGTGAGAGCTGTAACTGCTTGTTCGAGATCTTTTGTTCCTATAAACTGATCTCCATCGTAATCTATAAATAAAAATAACGTAATTAATAAATAAAATAATCGGTAAACATCCAATGCAATGGTTTGATACTTCCTTATTTCAGACTATTATTTTTTTATGACGATAAATCAGTTTAAAACCGGAGGATGTGTGGATACTGTTCACCCTATGCATTCTGTAATTTCTGTTTCCAAGAGTTGCATTTTAAACTCTTCCTTATTAGTAAATAATTTTTCCATTCTTGCATGTCTTTTGAGAATAATTAAAAGGAATTTTCTGCATTTTTTTCTCTCACAATAGGCGTTTAACCAATTACTGGGGCTTATAGAATGGCCTTAAGTGTATTTTTGTTTGATCTGTAAATCATATTATTTCTCGTTTCTAAGTTCAAGGCCTTACTTTTTCCTTCCCAATTCCTGTTTTTAATGTTTGGGAAAGTTTTGTCGTAATGTCGTAATAAGTACAAAAAATGCTTTGCATTCTACACTAACGATACACCAACTGTGAATAATAACCGATGGCGTCCCAAGGTGTGTATATCAATTAATCAATGACATGACGCTTTCACTGAGTTGTGATCAACACTAAAAGATCATTCGAGTTAGAATCATGAGCAACAAGTTAAAACATCAAGTGTTACCTGAAATCACCAAAATAAAAATTAAAAACTTCTTCAAAATGAAGTTTCACACGAGTAATTGAGAACTACTGGAACTAGAATTTTGTATATATTATTTTTGCAAGGAACATATAATTTTTGTGAATAACTATTATCTCCAATAAAACAAAATATAATTAAAAACGATTACACTCATTCATACTTGCAATAAGATGATCATATTGAGTATAAGATATTATATAGAGACTTATTTATAGATTTCATGAGCAAGGCGCTTCGGTAAAAATTACTAAGCAGTTTGGTGTTCCATAGAGCTAGAAACACGGTAAATTTAATTATATTCCGATAGTTTTGACCATACTTTTTTTCTTAGCGTAGGTCTTTTGCATAAAATAAACTATATCCGTATTAAATATTAGCAATAGTAACCCTATTTTATTTTCACTTTTACCCAAACCATTACCAATCGTTCCCTTACCATTGTTTTTACTTCTATAAAAATTACAGAGATTTTTTGGCATTCCCATAGAGCCAGGAATTCAGTAAATTTTACCGTAATTTAGAAGTTTTGTCTATAATTTTTTCTCAATGCTTTCTCCGTTACATCTAATTGATTATGTTATCATCTATATGTTACATTCTTCATTTCATTATTGTTTCTAATAAGGTACTGCTAGATATCTTTCTAATATAATTATTAAATTATTAATTCTTACAACACATGATTATTTTCCTTGTTTCTACAGTCATGTAAGCCAAAATTACATAAAGTACCAAAACGGGTTTTTGCATTTCTTACTTGTTCAAATGCATCTATTATTTTGGTAGGAGTAAAGGACCCAAAGTTTTAAGCGTACATGCTCAGCAGACAACGGGATTATAATTTCGAAAACAAGTTTCTCTGAGGTAAATAAAAGGTGTTCGATATGTAAGTATTAGAACATAAAATGATTGGAGTCATAGTGAGTCATAATAATTAAAAAAAATTAATTTTGCCTTTTGTCAGTAATAAGTAGTTGGTTATTGCTATATTTGCAAGTTATCGGTACAAATAGTACAAATACTGGGAATGTGCACACTTAAGCTAAGGAAAAGGTAAGGTGTGCACACTTAAGCTGTAGAAAACTACAGGAATACGGTGAAATTTATTATGTTTTTGGCTCCATGGAAGCACCAAAAGACACGGAGATTGTTACAGATGCTCTTCGGTAAAGATTTAGATAAATAAAAGATTAAACACTGTTTTAAAATGCGTTTTAAATTTACTTTTTGAGTTTTGCATTTTTGCTAAATTTGGGATAACAAGAACTATAATTTTGATAACCAGAATTGTCGGTAAATTGGCACCATATGAGATGGAAAAACTTCCAAATGAATCATTTGAAGGCTCTATGTTTTAGTTTAATTACCAGAATTATATTTCAAAGTAAAAATGCTTTTATCATGCAGTATGGTAATTTTACAAGATTTTTTTTTCTTAGTGTAGGAAGTGTTTCTCATAGATACTAAATGAAATACTACATTTAAAGAAAGTAGTATAAATTTAATCACGAAATGTTTTGTTAAAGGTCTTATCCTTGTATTGTAAAAGGTTTTATATTCCTTTCTCTATTCGAATTCTGGATTTTCCTTTGTAATCATATTTTCATTTTTAAAGAAATTATAGTCTTTACACCAAGTTTTAACTTGCCTATTTTAAAATTGAAAGCACAAATGATATCTCGAAACTGGAAAGTTTGTGTTTCATATCTCGTGATAAGATGAGAATAAGAAAATATTGATAGTAGATTTAGAAAATTCTATTTTTAAATTCTAAAATCATAGAGGATTTCGATTTGCTCTCAGGTGGCTTTTGGAAAAAATAAGTGTACCTTAAATATCCAATTTTGGTGTAATAGAGTGGAATCATTTTATTTATTTTTATTTGATGGAATATTTCATGGATTGCTTATCTTTGAAAACGTAAGTTTCTGTATTAAAAATCCATTAAATGATTATTAAGTAAGAAATAATTATTTACTGGAAATTTCGAGAGATGTTTAAAATTTTCATGATTTGTTACTTTTTTAATTTGATTGATGTTAATTAGGAAAATCTGTGCAAAATTTATTAATAGAACGAATTTTTCATTCAGTATTGGATTAAAAGTGAGTTTTATAAATATTCAGTGATTGATAATTACTTATTGATTTTTAATAATACCTGATTTCAGGAAGAAAATCATAGTTAATTACAAGAAAAATTTCTATTAATAAAACTTTCATATTTATTAGTGATAAAGTTTTAATTTAAATTTATGAAGTACAACAATTTAAAAAAAAAATTTTTGGAAATTTTTTTGACTGCATTTAATAAAATACAGTCAAATGATAGCTAATTCTTTGACTGTTTAAAAAAATTATCAGGCAATGTAAAACTTATGAACGTGACTGTAATTTTATTCCAGTAGCTTATGGATATTCACAGTTTCATGCTTGTTTCTAAAGTAACTTTAATCAATCTCATGTTTAAAAAATCTGGAATCAAATGAAGAAATATATAATCAAAAAGCTTTCATTTTATGAAGTGTTTAGTTTACTTTATATATATATATATATTCCTATTATAAAGATATTGAATGAAAAAGATTAACAACATTCTTAATATTATTTAACTAAACTATTTTTGTTATTCAGTATAACTTAAAAAAATATTTTAGCAAATTTTAATCAAATTTTCGTAATTTAGAAAAGTTACGCTGATACGCATTTTTCTTCTTTTCTTAGAATTAGCTTTTTTTGGTTAAGAAACGATTTTAAAAAAAACACAATTTTGTATTTCTATTGAAATTTTGCATTTATTGCGTAAACTAATGTATTTAGAAGTTTAGAGGAAAATAAGTGCTAATATTTTTTAAATAATATTATATTTTTGTTTCCATGGTATTTAGGGTTCTCGGATTAAAAAATAAATTACGTTAAATTAGATAGGGGCTAAAATAGATATTTACAAGGTCAGAACTGTGATGCCACAATTGGCATTACATATTCATTTCCTATCCTTTTAAATATCTCTTATAACTTAAGCTGATTTTTATTAATATAATTACTTTTCAAAATAAATCAAAGACTTAATCTTTTGAAACGAATATAAAATATTTATTCTACTCTTATAGATCAATGGAACGGATACTTTTTATTTCATTACTAATGCAGACTTATTAATTCACTGTCGCCTCTAATCGAAAACAAAAATCTATAAATAACTTTTTAATTTGGCTTTTGATTAGGCAGGTCGAGGGGGATTTGTCTCCCATGGCCTGTCCTTATTAATATTATTATGCAAAATTGATGCAACTCAAAGTCCTTTGGATAAAAATATTTATATTTTGTATCTCGAGCTCTGCAAAATATATTAAATAAAAGCTTTATATTAGTTACGATCCGGTTTTCATTTTCAAGTGTTATTTTCATCATCTTCTGTTCTCATTATTATCTTCAACTGTACACCATACCAATACAAACTCCTAGCCACCTGAATATCCATCACCACTTAAATTGGCACACTGAATCCTCCTTCTCCATAAGAACATTTTATGCCCAATTTAACTAGTTTACACCGTACCAGCAAATTATCAGTTTTAATATAAAACAGACGGAAAACATGCGAAACTAATATGTATTAAATATTTACAGTTTCCTTAAATATAGTATAATTATAGAGCTTTTTCCAATAATATGGAAAATACTAATTTGAATATAACATTCTTATACAAAAATAAAAATTTATATTATTAGCTTACCATACATTTTAAAAGCGTAAACTTGCTTGACATTACGTAGAGCCTGTTTCGACGAAAACATGAAATACGTCAAGCTAATATAGATAGAGTATTTACCCATACCCTATAATTATTAGTATAACTATATGGTATTTACCAATTATAAAGAAGAAAATAATATTTTAAATATGACAATCTAATTAAATAAATTTAAGTCGATATTAAACAGATTTCTCTGCTGATAAAAGATTTTAAAAGCGTAAATACCCCTAAGACGATACCCTAAAGACATTAGTATAGTTACATGAATTTAATACTAATAATGTTGAAAATAATATATTAAATATAAGATTCTAATTAAATAAATAAAAATCGAAAATTATTTATTACTAATAGCTTACAACATATTTTAAAAGCATAAAATTGCTTGACATTGCGTGGAGTCTGTTTAGCTGAAGAAAGAAAACATATAAAACTAATATCCATAAAATATTTACGGACATTCTAAAAACATTAGTATAATTATAGGTATTTTAGCAATAATGTAGAAAATAATATATTAAATGTAAAAGTCTAATACAATAAATAAAAATCTATACTATACATAATTACTAGCTAGCCATTAAAATGCATTTTAAACATGTAAACTTGCTTGACAGTGTAGGCAGCCTATTTCGACGAAGACATACAATATGTCAAAATAATATCTATAGAGTATTTACCGATATTCTAAAAACATAAGTATAGTAATAGAGATATAATCAATAAAAATATAATCAATAAAATCGATATTGTGCATAATTACTAGCTTACCATAGATTTTAAATGCGTAAACTTGCTTGACATTGCGTGGAGCCTGTTCGCTGAAGACAGAAAACATGTCTAAAAAATCATCAAACGTCAAATTTCCGCTTCCATCGTTTGAGAACACTTTACAAATCCTCTGTCTGAAAGGATTTTCCTGAAAACACAGGAAATGCAAAAGCATTTTGATGTTCTTAGTATCAGAATAATACAATTCTTTGTTCGGAATTTTCTTACATCTTGGAATTGCTGACATTTTGATTTTGCTTTAGGGAAGAATAAAGAAGGCCCTTAAAACACATTTTGACAATGCATATTTCAAATCGGAACGTTTTTAACAATAGGAAACATTGTTTTTTTTCGTTTTTTTCTCTAGTTATGCTGCAGAAAGAAATGCTGCAGCTATTTAAATAATTTAAATAGAAAAAGACTGAGGAATTGTATATAGGGATTGCGCATTTATAAAATGTTATTTAATATTTATAAATACGAAAAACAAAATTTAATAATTTTGAATAATTAAGAGTATTATGATAAAGTTGTAAGGAAAGAACATGCTAAATATTTATTTTAAATATTTTAATTCCATTTATCTACCTTTGTAACCAGAATCTGTTTAGAAAAATGCATTTTTCAAAAAAAAAGCATCTTTTTATATAAGGCAGAAAAATACCTACAATTTATCAATGTAGTTCCTGGCAACTTCTTCATTTTTTTCAGTAGATGTTACAATTTCTGAAAATAACTACATAGGTGTAAAAAAATCTAATAAGCTTAAATGTAGTTAATAAGAAATGAGCCGTATTTATTCATTGCCAAGTTGCATTTTTGAAGATTCAATGATTGAATTATTCCATTCCCTGCATTCTCAATTCAAAGGAATCAGAGAGACTGATTAGGCTGTTCCTTTCAGTATGAACTTTTTTCATAAACATACTTTAGAAGAATATTCTTAAGAAGTAGCGGTAAAAACAACCAATACTTGTAATTATAAATTCTGCATTTACCTCTAAAAATTACTCGATTATACATCTTTTCTTAATAATACATCTCGAGAGAACGTTTTAGCGGGTTTCAAGTTATATAAAGTATTTAACATAATAAATAATCTCATCATAAGATATGTGAAAAAAGCTATCAGCACCCTCTATTTTCTTTATCTAGACTATTTTTCAGGGATAATTTACTGTAAATTTTTATAGATTTGTAGAACCTACATTTACTTTAAATTAGTGCTGACGTTTCAGTAGCGAACTTTGATTTTTAATTCATTATTAATTTCAATGCTTAAAATTATTTTGTGTAAAGCAATTTGAAACGTGTACATAATAAGGAAAAGAACTTTATAAGCCTTAATACTCGGTTCATAATGTCCAAAAATTAAGGAATAATTTCTGTTGTGTCGATAGAGTAGGTCAAATAAAATTACACCAAGCAAATTTTTTTGTCTCTCATCGCTTATTTCATCTGAGTTTTCTTTTCATCGAAAAATTTTTAATATAAAACATCAATTATTCATTATCATGCATTCTTTTCCATTTCTAATTAAACAATATTTTAAAATTTTATTTAACACTTGAGAGTTTACATACATCGAAAGAAATAATGGTTGATATTTTCCTTCTTTGGTATTAAACTGATTCAAATTTTACTTGCTGCAAAAGTTTGAACACTTCTAAAGATACATCCTCATCTCCGGATGAAAATTATTCGATTTTTTACAGGTATAATAAAAAGTTTTCATTGAAGATTCCGAACAATAAAATTTATCAATAAACTATATTTCTTTATCTTTAATTTTTGAGTTACCTTTTGCTTGGAAAATAGTATTAAAACCATTACCTTTGTATGCTAATCATAAACTACAAAACATGCTATTCTAGATACGTGAAATGCAATAAAAAACTAAATTTTCATAAGCACGTTAGTCAAGAAAACTTCATGCCTTAAAATAAGCGATAGAATATTTGTTTGAATATATACTAGGAAACTTTATGTTTACAAGACATACCATTTATCTTCCAAAAAGAGTGTTGCAAGTTGTATATATATTGGATATATGCAAGTTGTAGAGATATTGGAACTTTAAGCGTAAAAAATCTAAACCAATATTCCTGTCAAATTTCATATTCATTACTACGTATAATATTTACTACTATTGTATAAAAAACTGTAACTTTTGTTACGTCTGTTGTTTCCTAATAAACGCGCTCTTTTTGAAACAAAAAACTAAATTTTTTTAACTTTATCTTTCATTATCTTTTAAAGAAAACATTTTTACACTAACCTAATTAAATAAATTTTTCATAAAAGTAAAAAAATAATAAATAAACAAGTATGTTCATTCTTATGTTGTCTAAAAAATTTCATTTAAATTGCTTCTTTTTTGATGGGAGGAGATGGTACGAAGGCTTTTGTATTACAGAATAGTTTATTTGTTGCAATTCATTTGCACACAGTGTTCTTGAAACTCATTAATTAAATAATTAATTTTGGTAGCATTTTACATTTTTAAATAAAATGGTTTGAATGTTATATTTTAACCTTTTGATGCAAAATTAAAATTAAACATATTTTTCTTATTTTTTTTCTTCTTTCTATTAAATTGAGTCAAAATAAGTGATAAATTTTATATTTTGTATTTTAAAAATTTATGGTTATGAAACATAGCACAAGACAATAGTGTTTTTTTCTACTTTAATGAAAGGTAAAATCATTCAAACGCAGCTCACTTCACCGAAATCTCGAAAATGTCGACATTCACGTAGTCGCTTTGGTGAATGTCCGAAATATTTGCTAAATACCCTTATTTCTGACATTCACCGGTGATTGTCAATAATCACATAGTCGCTTTGGTGAATGTCCGAAATATTTGCTAAATACCCTTATTTCTGACATTCACCGGTGAATGTCAATAATCACATAGTCGCTTTGGTGAATGTCCGAAATATTTGCTAAATACCCTTATTTCTGACATTCACCGGTGAATGTCAATAATCACATAGTCGCTTTGGTGAATGTCCGAAATATTTGCTAAATACCCTTATTTCTGACATTCACCGGTGAATGTCAATAATCACATAGTCGCTTTGGTGAATGTCCGAAATATTTATTACATTCGATTTGATATGAATTTATTCGTGGATATAATTACATTTATTCGATAATTTAATACTTACTGACGATAGATCAGAAGAAACATCAGTGTTTGGAGTATCGGGCCATACATTTACATTTGCCCGGTATACATTTGCTCGGTATACCCTACATTGATGTTTTTTATGGTTTAGTGCCACTGCCCGGTATACACTAAGTATCGGGAAAATACATACCGGGCAATGGCACTTGACCTTAAAAAAACATCAGTATAGGGTATACCGGGCAAATGCGTACCGGGCAGTGGTACTTAACCTTAAAAAAACATCAGACACAATTATCATCTTTTAACAGAAATAGTACTTGTTAATGTTTTATTTTTACTATTTAAATATTTGGAGAAAAAATGTCATATAAAAATTCATTAATTATATTAATAAGATGTCTTGAATTATTACCAAGTAATAAATGGTAAAAAAATAATAACAATAAATAAGTTATGAACTGTTAGTTGTATAATAAATCTTTTCAGCACCAAAAATCTGAACAATTTTTAATAAATACTCGATTGGTTCTATTTCGCTGATAAATATACTAAAATTACCGTTATTTTAATTGCGTAAGTAGTTAAACTTCAAACTTAAAATCGGTGGATAGCCTTATTATAATTTTCTTAAGAGCAAAAATCATTAATTACATCACTTAATTATACATTTTTTCAAGAACGTTTTAACACACTTATATTAGTTTTCGTTAATGATAAAAAGTAGTTACTTTTAGTTCAGGCATTTTTTCTACTTTTTCTAAGGGTACAGTTACTTCATGAGCTTCTTCACCAGTCATTACTTGAGGAACTCGCTGAGGGTCTAATTCTCTATACCTTTTGAAAACACTGCAGAAAATAATAAAAATTGAGAAAGAGAAAATGTTGGTAAATCTTTTGACAAATATAAAAATATTATATTCATATTTTTTTCATGAAAAAATACACTGTAAAGCATTTCAAATCAAATTACGTTATCAAGTACCCGCACTCTGGGTGCATCATCCGTAAAATCAATTTTCACCATTAAATATTATACAGTATTTTTACAGTGATATTTATTTAATTTTATTAATTCAATGATTTTATGAAAACTGCTACTGTAAAAATTACAATATAATTATTTTTTTGTTTCGTAACAAGTTCCAATAAACACGAATTCCACGGTAAAAATTGCTGACAGTCTGAGTGTCGGTCCTTTTATCTTCACAAATGTCAGTAATTTTTACATTTGATATTCAGTTAACTGAAAGTCGGTTGACTTCAAAAATTTTATATTAAAATCAATACGTAGACGAGAGCAAATGTCAACAAAATAGAGCCGTTTTGTATGCTTCTTCAGAATATTAAATCGGTGACGTCATTATCCATAAGTTAATTTTATTTCTTTTAAACTAATATGCAAAATTAAGGATAAATAACTAATTAATTCAATATGAGGTAACTAATAACTAATTAAAAAGTTTCAATACTAAGAAAACTGTTTCTTTGAAATGATGGTTTGATGAGGTTTACCATTTATTGATAAGAGGTTAACTATTATATTATGTATGAGGTTAACCATTATATTTTGAAGATGGATTGTTGATGTTAACCATGGCTAAAACTAGAATTATGTTGTTTTTTTTTAACAGAAGTGTATTTTCTCTACAGTACGGTACTTTCATCAAGATTTTTTTTCCAATTAAATTGTTTCAAGAAATTTCGAAAATAAATATTTGAATCTTTTGAAAGTGCAATAAATGTAATTTCAGAGTTACAATAAAAATATAGAAATTTTACTAAAAAATAAGTAAATGTAAATTGCAAGGAAATTTGTATGAATATATATTTAAGAAATATAACTGCATAAAATGTTCAAATGCATGAAAATTTTATGCACACAAATTTGAAATTCATGTTTACATATTTCCTTTTCAACTTTTCACTAGCTATAAAAATCATATTTTTCAAACCCTTAAACGCAAATGATTGTTGATAATGCTTTTTTAAAAATTTAATGTATAAGTAATGATGAATATGATTTGTAATAGAAAAAAATGCGAAATTTTAAAATTTTTACTATTTCTTTTAAATGAGATTTTACAATAATAAATTTTGAATGTTAAGATTACATTACACCAATAAAAGTCTGTTTTTCAAAAATCCACATTAACATAGAATTTCAATAAATATTTTTTTGCAGATTTAATTTATTATAATAAAATTAAAAACATTCAGGTAACGAGGTTTTGCAAATTGAAAATTCTAAAAGTGAAAATTAATATTGAATGAATTAAATACTGTTTTTATAAAGAAATTTTTTTTAAGTTGCATGATCATCAAATCATGCAGTTTTTTTAAATTAATGCATTCAGATCTAATAGTTTCAGGCAATGACAAATGCGCGAAGAGAAAAATTCTGGTAACAGAACCGTGCTGGATGATAATGACATTTCTAGAAAAAAAACATATTTCTGGTAATTAAAACCAAAATATTTAAAATATTAATTTAGTAATTTTTATGTTTATTTATTAATGGTTTACTTAAAACTCTAATTTACAAAATACAGGTATTGTTACCTCGCATTTAGTGAACGATACAAAACTGAGAAGTAAATTTAACCGAATTAATGGTATTTATACCGTCCTCTACCGGTATTATGGTATTACTAAGCTATTTAGCGTTCTCATGGAACAAGAAACATGGCAACTTTTACCATAATCTGACACATTTGATCTTAAATTTTTACTCAGAAAACAATTCAAATATCCTGAAAGTTAAAATTAGCATCTTTTCATTAAACGTCTCTTTTTGAAAACTTCAAAATCTTTTTAAAAATTGAAACGAATAATTTTTAAATATCAATAGCAGTTTTTTTATAATATATATATATATACGACGTAATTTTTAAGTATTAAGACAAAGCTTCAAAACAGAATACTTGGATCTAAAATATTTGAAGACGTGCGAAAAAAAAGTTTTTTCTTCATCTAGATAAGCATATATTTAAGCTTCTTTTTCCTCTAACTACGATGTATGAAATCGATAATAGGTGATTATACTTACGTTAATATTTCTTTTCGAGTGAAAAATGTGCAGTCCTAAAACATGAAACTTTGTTTCAGAATTATATTTAATTTCAGATAGTTTTTCAATTAAAATTTCTCATTTTCAAGTAAAAAACATTGTAATGAATATAATTACATTCTTTGTATCAGCCAAATTATTGAAGTAGAATCTTATATTTACAGATTTATAATTTTTATGAATGGACCATCTTATAATTTTTAAAACATATCTAATATTTTTATTGTTCTCCCTTTTTTCTTGTATTTTTGTGCTTTTAAGATTTAAAATTATACAATTACCAAAAATCACGAATTTTCATATTTAAATTTATTGAAATAGTCAAACTATATGGATTCTCAAATGAATAAATTAAGCAAAGACTATCTTATAATATATTCGTATTTGTCAAATTAATAAGCTGATTTTATGTGCTTATACCATTATAAATTTCAGAGAATGAGAGTATTATAATTATCAAAAGAGATATGATATTTTATACATTATAATATAATTTTCAGTTCAAAAATTCTTACAAATTACCGATATCACCAAAACTCCAAATTTTAAATTTCTTAAAAAATTTATTTGAATTTGTTTTTAAGTAAAAAATTAATCAACTGTACTTAATAAGAAAATGAAATATTTAGCTATTATGATTTATTTTATAAAATTTTTTAATCATGTTCAATGTGTGATACAATGTGCGATGCAAGTTCCATGTGTGAAACATTGAACAAGTTGCACCAAAATATATGAACTTTACTATAAAAATAATGTAAAAGAAGACAAATTATATATTTTTATTAGTAAATATTATTTTTCTTCAACATAGTTTGAGAACTGAAAAAAAACTGCACTGAAATTTGCTTTATTGCCTTTATCATTGAATTTTGTTTTATGCAAGGAGAAAAGTTTTAATCGTAAAAAAATGACTTGATAAACTTAATACTATTTTTATAAGTTTTATTTTATTTGATTTCCTATTAAATTCAATTTAAAAATATACTATTGTAGTTATTATGTTGGTTTACAATAATTCGACCAAAAAGTGAACCCTTCAACATACAGGTATGCATTGCAAATAATTAAAAAAACAGCATAAGAACTTACGATAACATTTAACCAATTTTTTGTATAACTCATATCTTATACTGATTTCTTCCAATTTTATAATTTGCTAAAAATTTATGTCCAAACTAACTTAAATAGAAAGAGTAAAATGAAAGCAGAAAATAGTTTCATGTAAAAATATTTAATAAAGTGCATACAAAAAATTTTTTTGAAGCTAACAGAATCTATTCAAAATTGCTTTTTATCTTTCACTATTTCTTTAAAATTTTCAAGGAAAGGAAAAGAGTTTTGAGTATTTTTAGTAAATTCTTTTAATTAAAGAATTTTAACTGAGCAATTTTATGCAGGGAAACAATTTGTATAATGCCTTTTAAAATAATACGAAAATTCTTTTGCTTGAGAAATATCAAAGTGTGATATCTGAATAAATAATTGAAGATTTTGAAATGGGGCATTTCCATCGTGAAAAAAATTTTAACACTTTTTTCTATAATCACTGATTTTTAAAAATTTATTGCCAAATGATGTTTTTACCGTAATTTATTAGAAAAGATTTGAAAAAGTAACATTTCTACATCGCCAGTTTTATGCGGTTTAATCAAATTTGAAAAAAAAAATATATATGCTTCTATTTTTTCTAGTGTAACGTCAAACAGATGAGCAAGAAAAAAATTCTATGAATACGCTATTTTTTAATCTTATAATATTTTAAAAGAAGTGAAATGTTTGGAAAACCACGTAACTTAAACTGTCTGCATAATTATTGAATATCTGCATCAATTGAGCTAACCATCCTCAATTTCTGATAAACTTGACTTGAAGTTTTTCTTCCCACGCAACTTTATCATGCATGCCTAAATTTTATCATCAGGCAGTCAACTTTATAAATGCTGATTACGTTTTTGACCGAAAATAATTAGCAAACTTAATTGTTGGTGATGACTGTATGTTAAAATCATTCCAGAAATGTGAGATCCATCTATAAAATTTGAGTATGAGATATACAAAAATATGGTTTTTCCAGACCTTTAAAGAGATGGGAGTGAAGACTTTGCTGTGCTTTTTTATTCAGCAGATATTTAAATACATATAATCAGCATATATAAAAAATAGTTTGCAATCCTGAATATTTTTTTCAAACACTACTCTGTAAATTATCCTTTGAAACATGCGCTTACGTATAACATTTTGAAGTAAGCCTTGTTTTCAGGTTCTTAGCAGTGTTTTTAAATAACAAGTTTATCAACGTATTTGTACTACTGAATTGTGAGGACAGTCATTAATAAAAATATTTTTCATACACATTTTAAAGTTATAAGACTTCAATATTTCGATATATAAACGTTTTTGAATAAAAAAAGTACTTATCTTTTTCTCAAAATAAATAAGCTTTGAAAAAATTACCTTCACTTTGCTGTCGGCATCAAAGTTTTAGAAATTTAGGGTCTAATGTTTACAAAAATGAATTTCAAAGGAGTTTCAAAAAAAAATAAATTTTGAAACTTCCTAATCATCTTATTTTTTACATCTTTTTTTTTCCTTTAAAGGAAATTTAAAAAATTATTTGAATCGATAAGTGTTTTCGGTGTGCGTTAAACAATTTTCGATATATTTAAAATGAGGAGAGTTTCAGAAAATGTATATTTAGGAGTATTTAGGTGATAAAGTAAATCTACAAAGAAAATAAAGCGCTTGTTATTAATGTCAAATATCATTGAGATGAGCTAATTAATGAATACTTAAACATTTTATTTAAATAATTAACCTAAGACAAATCCACTGAAAGTAATTTAATAATTTCCTGTAATACAAACAATAATGAAAGAATATTAAATGCTATATTCATTGATTCCTATACTTTAGATTAAATTGCCTACTTTTCTTATAGTAAATAACGAAAAAAATAAGACATCTTACTTGATAATCTTCCAGTTGTTCCTCTGTAAATGTTGCGACTTTATTTCCCATTAGGAAAATTGCAAGAAGAATCTGGAAAAATGGTCTGGTTGATTGTAATATATTCTTATAATTGCATGAATTGAGAAGATGAGAGGCCGAGAAACAGAAGGATTTTACGTCATGAAGTTGGTAATAATTCAGGATTACTTCTTAAGATGGTAGAGACAGTTAAGGGTGTTGTCCATTGCTTCGCATTTTTGGCGGGGCAGTTTAATTTGCACCACACCCTTAAGGATAAAAATAAACTCGCATCTCGGAATATATATATGCATTCCAATTCCAATTCTTATGGTTGGATTATTTTGAGTATATTTAAATTCCAGTACGTTCTTGTGAATAAATAGGTTATATGAGATATTTTCTGATAGAAGTGTACAAATTTCTTATTTAAACTAATCAATTTTGATATTAATTTGATCTGATTTTAGTTTTTTCTTTTAAGATTTGTTTGCATCAAAAGTTACACAATAAGTTTGCTTTTTTATCGACATTCATATTTATGATGATTGTTTTAAGAATATTAAAGTTTTAAGGCAGACTTGTGTAAAAATTAGCATCTGATAGAATTAACTAATAGAAGTGTTAACGCCGTGGTGGCTCAGGGGATAAAGCATTCTCCAAACAATGATGTAAACTAAGTTCGAATCCCAATGGTCACTGGTTGATATGAATTTTTCTTCCGTTTTCTTCCAAATTCTTGCACCGTCCACAGTGTTGACGTAAAAACATCCTCAGTGGCAGATGGATGAGTTAGAGTCCCCTTGCTGTCAGGTTAAGAATGGAATGCTATCGTGGTTTTCTTCGTCATGCAACGCTAATGCGGGTAAGATCCATAAAAAAATCCTCCATGAAGGCTAGTTTGTCAAAATGCTTGATTTCCTTGTGTCTTCTGGGTTGCGTTCAAAATTGCAAGGCTACGGAGGTGAAGATTGAAAAATGTAAACTCAGAATTAGACCGCTGTTCAACTCGTGTTATAGAAAAAGTTATAATGAGGGAGAAATGTATAAATTTAAGCTGTTAACTTTTTTAAAAATTTGCAATGATTTTTTTCTTCATTTTTTGTGTCAAAATCTAAACAAAATGTTGTTGTTTTTCATTACAATTCCCATTATCATTTCATTATTTATTTCATTTGTTTGATATTATATAAATATTTTCCTTAAATAATTGAATTTAATTTGAATTGGTTCGTGCGTATACTGTTTCCCATGCTTGAATAAAAATAATATGTAGAAAAATCATATTTCTTCCTTTTTTAGATATTCCAGTAGTTCTATTAGACATTTTATTTGTCTAAATAATATTTAAGAACAATGCTACTGAATTAGTGCAAGGATTACCAGAATAAGCAAAAAATTGTACACAAAAGAGAAAAAATTTCGTGTTTTTAAAAAACAATTAAATCTCTTTAAACAAAACAATAAACGGAAAATCAGGAATATATAATCAAGTTTATGTTGTCTATCCGGGCTAACAAAACTGTATTTTTTAAGTAAAATTGTGAATTTATAGTGACTTGTGTATTCATATAAATCAATCATCCAGTCAATCTATACAGTTTTGCATGTGTGCATGAAATCAATATATATATAATTTGTGGCTAAATATATAAAGATCTTATTCTCCTATTGAGAAATATTCTGCTATATGGTTAAGTACTTATTTTCCATGACAATGTCTAAACCTTACCTTTAAAAATTTAATTGGAAGTTACCATTTTTTAAAACGAATATAAATGCATTCTTTTATATTTTCTCCTACACCATTGACTTTTTTCTGCATAATTAAACAGAACACACCAAAAATTGGATTAGGACGCACACAAAAAACATAAAACGGAATATTACATACTGCTTCCGTGCAGACACAGTCATTCAAAATCATATCAAATATTTTTATAATCTTAAAATAATAAAGAAAATGCTTATTATTTGGTCCAAAAAAGTTCATGCCCCTAAGGGCTCATCATATAAAACTGGAAGTTACTAAAAGGAAATATTTATCAGATCTACATTTTCTGGAGATAAAATAGAAATGCTTTTACTATTTTATGAAGATAAATAGAGGGCTAGTATATTTGCTGAGAGCAACCTCATTTCATTACTTTCTGCAGACACTCTATAACCAGTTCCTTTTTCAATGATTCGATTTCAGTTCCGATTCTAGCGCTAACAACAGTGCATGTCTTTTGAAAAGACGAGACGCACTCGCCAATAAGAAATCTAGTCACGTCCAATCTTTCCAGGAGTTGCTGAAAATAGAAGAAAGAAATCAGGGAAGGTGGTAGGCGAAAATATCCTTCCTCCTAACACACAAATATTTTGTTGTGCAGCATGTAGGAGAGCTGCATCAAAAGGCACATTCTAAAGTGTCCTGTAGAGCGCCGTACATAAAGAGCATCATCCTTTCAAAAGCAAAGTCTAGTCTCCATATGTGTATAAAGAAGCGACAAAGAAAATGTCCAATAAAAGACTTTGGAATGTGTGGAGCAACCTGTCGTGAATAGTTGTAAAAAAAATAATAAATATTGAATACTAAATTTAATGTTCAGGAATATGAAGGGAAGTTGTAGGTCAAGTCCTTCTTCATTTATTTTGAAGTACAAAGTTTTCCGACGCATGTATTGTTTTTCTTGACATGAGTGATTGTAGTCTCTTCTACTTCCAATTCAGTACTAAGATGGAAGTGTACCGATTTTAATATAAGATTGAAATTACGTACATAAACATGGAAGTAAGGTTAACTCTATTTTATCATTTGGTGTTGGCCCAGTATTCAAATAAAGACTGTATATATAGTGCCTCAAAAGTTTGTAAACTAAAATTAACGCTGCACTACGCATTCAAGCCGAAATCTAAAATTATGTGTTGAAATACTAACAAAAGATGCTATGATTGAAATACCCCCAAAAAATACCCCCAAACAGTCGCTTCCGGGTTCGGAGACAGTCTTAAAATCTTCAATGAGAATTCAATTTTTTTGTTTCAATTTTGGATTTTCCTGAAAAATAGTATACTTACCAAAAAAGTATACATTCAAAAACCAGGTCAATCATTAAAGTTTAAATGTAAGTTCCAATGTGTTTAATAACACATTGGATCCAAGCTGTTTTGGATGGCGGCCACATCCTGTGCTGCAGGGCCCTCCGCGGGTCGTCGTCTACCGACCGATATTGGGATGCAAGAGCGCTAATGAGGAAATGACTTTTTACTTTCTTGTTTTGTTCCTGTGTTTTTGCTTTTTAACATGTCAATTCACCTCTGCCATTTGAAATAAATAAATAAATGTATTTAATATTAGAAAAACAGTCAGAAAATAGTAACAAACATAGTAAAACATATACATCAAACGTGTTCACAAAACAATTTCCGAAAAAAGAAACTGAATTTAATTTTTAGTGTGTTTAGAGGTTATTGCAAGAAATAGCGAGATCAAAAGTATCATATCATTTACAATAAAATAATGTTTAGTTATCAAAATGACATGTTATATCAAGCATTGAAAATGTACACATGAAATCTGAATTAACTTTCAAGAGGATTCCTAGTTTAAAGACTCCTTTCAGGATCTGAAGTTCTGAGAATTATAAAATTTTGCATTTATCTTGCAAAATTATATGATTTTGCATTTGCATTCCCCCTGCAAATGCTTTATTCGAATTCGCGAAAATGCTAAATATCTAGTTTAATCAGCTCCCTCTTATTATAAGGCTTAATGATAAAGAGCTTATCTCTTTCACCATCTGCATCTGTCCTAAATTCAACTCGAATTAAGTGTTATGGTAATTTAACTTCTCATTAGGTTTTAGCATTTCCAAAGATTACTCACCATTAAAGATATTCGTTAGTAAATATAATGCTCCTCAGATTATGCTTCATTTTGCTTTAAAAGGCCATTTCAAAATAACAATGCAGTTAATTGCAATTAATAAACAAAGTACTAATCAGAAGAAAAATAACCGATTCTAAAATAACAATTAACTGAAAATTTACCGAATATAAATGAAAGATTAACCGAGAATTAACCGAATCTAGAAAAAAGTTCTTTGAATAATCTTCAACAGTAACCACCACTGACTACCACCTAGTTCTATTTTTTTAAAGAAGAATTTCAACCATTTCAATATTTTAAATGGTACAGTCGAAACTTAAGATAATATGCAAGTATAAACTCTAACTGCTGAAGTGAGTATAGATTTAAATTTTGTCTCTTACATATTTGCATGATACCGAGGGTATCATGGTAGCATCACTAGGCATTTTGATAGATATTAATTGGTAATTTCAATTAATAACTTTGCATATATAAGAATTATTATAGCATTAAAACCACATGCAATTCACCTGCTAATCGTTTTCCAGCAATAAAATCGCAAAATAACACCTGAAGTATAATATTCCCTCATCTACTTTATGTTTATGATTTCTTGCTTGCTGCTTTTCCTTGTTAAATAATACTAAAAATATTAGTCAAAAAATATAGAAAAAATTCCTTCCTTTACTAATATTTCAACAATTTTATTCCATCTTGAACCTACATGTAATGTCAATTTTCCATTCATTCTTCTTCAAAGTTATTAACTCAAAAATCTTAAGAAAAAATATTTAATAGGAAAAAAAGAATTTCCTGGTTAGTTATATGAAAAATAAATCTCTTAAATCTTATTAGAAAATTTATGGAATTAATCAAAATTCGTGCAGAAACACAACGCAGAAGAAGAGCGGGTTAACGAAAATAATTTAAATTGCATTAGATGAATTACGTATTTATTTTCTATTTGTTTCAAGAGCTTATCGACCAAAAGATATCTTCAAAAATATAATAACTTTTAAGTCAAGCTTAATAAAAACTACTATTTAGGGATAAAATATGTAGGTTGGATGTGTCAACTGTAACAACTTATTAACTGACGTTGTAATGGCTTAATATTTCTCCGCAATTTTGTACCGTCAAGAACAAAATTGCGGGAAAAAAAGCAAAATTGTGGGAAAGAAAGCAAGAGCAAAATTCTCCGCAAGTAACACAGCTTACTCATGCTTACAAAAATCATAGTAAGTTTTTTCTTTTAAAATTAGAACACTTTTTTCTTCTAGAACAATAATTTTATTGAGAGAGAGAAAAGGAAACTGATGAAAATTCTCTCTATCATGTAGTACGACGAGCTATGGCAGCGCAGACCACTC